CAGTTGCAACTGAACCCCAAAAACAATAAAATAAATAATTATTTCTGCTGCTTTTAATATTCTTTTTATACATCTCTTTGGGGGGCCCCCTGAGGTCCTCTGGGGGCCCCATCAGGCAGCGGAGAGCAGATAGGGGGGCCCCCCTCTTGATCTTCTTTATACTCAGAATGAAATAATTAATAATGGTGCAAGAACTAGCTACAACACCTGCAGCAGCAGCAACTGCAGCAGCAGCAGCAGCAGCAGCAGTGAGGCTAGCAGCAGTAGCGGCTGCAGCCTCGAAAGCAGCAGCGGCTGCAGCATCGACAGCAGCAGCAGCAGCAGCAACAGCAGCAGCGGCACTAGTAGCAGCACCGCCACAACCAGCAGCAGCAGCAGCAACAAGAACAACAGCAGCAGCAGCAGCAACACCACCTGCTGCATGGTTAGGGGTACGTGCTTCTTGGGGGGCCCCCTTCGTCATCTCTTAGGGGCCCCCACCCCTCCTTCCTCATCTTTGGGGGCCCCCCATCTTGTTCAGGGGGCCCCAATATCTTCAAGGGCCCCCCTTTGTGCTTCTCAGCACCACCTTAACTCTTCCATAGTTAAGGGGCCCCCTTCGGGGCCCCCTGTCCTGGGGGCCCCCACCTTGGGGGCCCCTTCTTCACTTTCTTCTGCTGCGGGGGCCCCCCATGTCGCTCCCTCTCCCTCTCTGAGGGGCCCTCATAACCCTCATGAAGGACCCCCTACCGCTGGGGGCCCCCCTACGAGTGGGGGCCCCCCTGAGTGCCTTGTTGGGGGCCCCCTTGGGGGCCCCCCTGGGGGCTCTTTTGGGGGTCCCCCTGGGGGCCCTTTTGGGGGCCCCCCTGGGGGCTCCCATGGAAGCCCCAATGGAGGGCCCCCAGGGCCCCCAAGGCCCCCAGGGCCCCCTGGGGGGCCCCCGGGGGCGCCCCCAGCGTTCTTTTGGCGGCGCCCTGTGCACCGTCAGTACCCTGTTGAAGCTGGGGGCCCCTGGGGGCCCCCGAGGGGCCCCCAGTCAGGTATTAGAGGGGGTAAGGAGGGGCCCCATTGGGATAGCTCTGGGGGCCCCTTGGGGGAGGTGAGTTTAGCGATTGAGGGGTTGAGGAGAGAAGGGTATCCAGTGCCGCAGTGCTTGCTGAGGGGGCCCCCTGAGGGGGCCCCCAGGGGGCCCCTGCGGGAGCTGAACGTACTTCTAACTGCTGCCTTGACGAGGGCCCCATCTCCTCATGCTTTGTTTGTTTTGTTGTGGAGGTACAGCAGATTCATTACCCCTGCAAATGCTGCTGCTGCAATAAACAGACTTGTGCAGCTGCTGCAGCCAAAGGGAGCCCAGCAGCAGCAGCAGCGGAAGCGGCAGCATCAGCAGCAGCAGCAGCAGGTGCTGCAGAATCCTGTGCTGCAGCAGCTGCTGCTGCAGCTGCTGAGGAAGGGCCTCTTTAAGCTGCGAAGCCGACACCTGGCTATGGCAGCGGGCGCCCTTGCGTCTCTCTGCCGCCTGCAGCAGCAGCAACAGCAGCTGCAGCAGCAGCAGCACGACCAACAGCAGCAGCAGCAGCCCGACCGGCAGCAGCAGCAGCAGCAGAAGCAGCAGCAGCAAGCTGCCAACGTACTAGATTCACCTCTTGTTGTTTTGGGGGCCCTGATCAGGGCCTCTCTAAACCCTAGGGGGCCCCTCAGTCCCCCTGCATGCAGCAGCTTAGCCTGGGCAGCCACAACTCTAAATCTGCTGCAACAGCAGCAACTGCAGCAGCAGCAGCAACACTACCAGCAACTGCAGCAGCAATTCCAGCAACAGCTGCACCAGCAGCATCTAGTGCAGCAGCAGCAATATCAATTGCAGCAGCAGCAGCAGCAGCATCCACTGCAGCTGCAGCAGCAGCAGCTTTACCTTCTGCATCAGCAGCTGCAGCAGCAGCACTACCACCTGCAGCAGTTGCAGCAGCAGCAGCAGCCTCTGCAGCAGCAGCTAGGGGTCCTCTTGTCAGAGCTGCGCCTCCGTCTGCTGCACCTCCTTCAAGGGGGGCCCCCAGGGGGCCCTCCTGAAGGTGCCTATACACCTGAAACCCCTCAAGAGTGCATGCAGCCCCGAGACATCTGCACAGTACTGTGGGCCTCAGCAAAAGCCAATGCTTGGGGGCCCCCTGGGGGCCCCCAGGGGGCCCCTGACAAGGAGACTCTAGCGCTGTTAGAGGCAGTCTTTAGCCTTGATCAGCAGCAGCAGCAGCAGCAGCAACAGCAGCAACAGCAGCAGCAACAGAAGCAGGGGGACCAAAAGGTGCAGCTGCAGAAGCAGGAGCAGCAGAGGGAGCAGCAGCAGCAGCAACAACAGCGTGACAAGCAGCAGCGACAGCAACAGGAGCAGCGAGAGGAGGAGGAGGAGCAGCAGCAGCAGCAGCAGCGGGAGCAGCAGCAGCAGCAGCAGCGGGAGCAGCAGCAGCAGCAGCAACAGCAACAGGAGATGGAAGAGGCCGACTTGCATATGCTTGCTGAAGTACTGCGT